CAGCATTAAAACACGTCGGTCCTTTGTAGTCTGTAGGTACTGTCCAAGCTTACTCGTACACTAAACCAACAGCATTAAAACACGTCGGTCCTTTGTAGTCTGTAGGTACTGTCCACGTTTACTCGTACACTAAAACCAACAGCATTAAAACACGTCGGTCCTTTGTAGTCTGTAGGTACTGTCCACTCTTACTCGTACACTAAAACCAATTAATTTATCGCCCTGGGGCAACTAAATATCAAACTAACGTGTATTTTTGTAGCTCGTCTTAAATAAGTACGCTATCTTAAACATTCATGACTTCCTCACACATACATGATGTAAAAAAAGTTTCGTTTGAAATTGTTCCCTGTTTACGGATTTGCATGATAAAATCTGGGGTTTGATTCCCAGGGTGGACAGAGTGCAGATTGTCCAGTGTGTAGCTTTGCACCTAGAGAACAACAACAAATTTGTTCGAAATTAGAAATATTTATAGGATAGTTTTTTCCAGCTTATATTTTCGTTACTTCTTGAAAAAATGGACTCGTTAATTAGGGTCTTACGTGTATTTCATTTATGTGTACAACTTTCAGGAATTTAATTTTGACGTTTCGTATGTAAATGGAGAAAACATCTTCCCCTTCCATCAACTCAGGTCCGGCCTTAGGGCGAGACCAATGAGGCAAAGGCCTCAGGCCCTGCATCTTTCTGAGACCGGCCCTGCATCAACTATTCAATAGGGGAAGCATTTTACTTTTTTGTATTTAGGACAAAGCTACTAAGGTTACATACCTCTGACCCTAATTTAGAAGTACTAATCAGAAGAAAGGCAGCCAGTCAGCAGTCCCCTTCCACCAACCATCCATGCTAAGGGACTGACTGTTACTTTTCTAACTGCTTAAAGTTCGGGGAATGTTTTATGTTATATCGCATGGATTCGAACCCGGATCGTCAGTTGCTAAATCCAGAGCTGCAACACAAAGCCAAATCACGCCCTCCAATAGGCGAAGACAAATTACTTAATGACGTCACAGAAGTTCCAGATTTTGTGAAACTTAAAACAGACTTCACATTTTAGGAACGATATGAATATAGCTACTGTGGTAAGAAAATTAGCAAACATACGGCAATAAGCATCATTCTATACAAAAAAGGTTTACAAGCAACTAGTAAATCAACAGGATAAAATAATGGTGATAAAAAAGCTTGTCTGCATCCAATAATTTTTTTTTTTGCGTGTGCTCTCTGACGTCAATGTGACTTCAGCCTTGTGATTCGCTATCTTCAGTAATTCCATTTGTATCCGATTAAATATTTGCCTGTTAATAACAATATTGGTTTATATTGTTTCACAAAATTAAACAATGTATTAAGAATATATTGTTAGAAATAATTTAAATGTTTAACAATCCAATACCATTCCCTTCTGTATTTATTCAAATATTATTGTTAAATCAACACCAACCCGAATACTTTAAAACATTGTGTCACCCCCCTGTTTGTTTTGTTCATAAATTGGTTAACCATCCAGCGGTATCTAACCGCAGTGTGATCTAGTCTATAACGGACTTGCTCAAGCTGCATCTCCCTGCTCTGCTCGTCGTGGGACCAACGAACGATCCCGCGCGGCGGTAGGAACGACAGAAAGAAGGAAGAAAACAAATCAACGAAGCTCTCCGTCTTACTCTGCTTAGCCACGTCTCCTAGCAGCTTTTCCCTCAGCGCTTTAGAAACTCGTTTCGAAAAATATTAATAATAAACCCCTTATGTAAACGTTTAAAGCATAAAAGCCTCGGCCAAGTATTCCTAGTTATGTAGTGGGGTGAAGAGAAACAAATGTTTCTGACCGCCCCTGGTTATATTTCATTCCCCTCCGGGGAATGAGATATATTATTAACCTAAATACCTACCAAGTCTAAAAGTAAAGTAAAGTTTGATTTGTTCTCTAATTAAAATGCTCAGTCTAATTGTATGAAATTTGGTACACACACTTTCTAGGTAATGTATAGTTTGTGGTTAGAAAAAATAATGATAATTCGTTTTAGTATTTTAGGTTGTGAATTTTCGGAAATTTTCTTGTGAAACGCTTTTTTCTTTTTGTACATTCAAAATTTCGTTCTGGAGTTCCAGTTGTTGGTTATCGTGTGCCTAAAATGTTTTAGATGTAGTCAATAAATTTATTTTTTCATGAAAACTGTAATTTTTGTTTCTGTGTCTGTTCTAGTAATCGTATACTGATTTTCTTGTCTGTTTATACGAATCTCCGACATATAACCAAATTCGATA